GGACAGGAAGCGGCGGTTGAAAGAAAGGGCAGCTTTCACCAAGAATCCATTCCAATACCTGTCAAAACTCCTGGGTGACAAAAGATCAGGGGAGTTGAAAGCAACAAAGGAGGAGGTGGAGGAACATCTTCGTCAGGTTCATAGTGATCCCAGAAGGGAGGTCAGTTTGGATGAGATGGAAAAGCTCATCAAACCAGCCGAACCAACAATCCCCTTCAAGACAGAGGAACCAAGCTGGCAGGAAGTTAACAGCTTTCTAAAGAAAGCCAGAGGAAAATCGGCTCCAGGGCCAAATGGCATCTCATACAGTGTTTACAAGCATTGCAAAAGGCTCAGGAGACGACTCTGGAAGCTACTGACAGTGGCATGGAAGAAGAACTACCTTCCTGATGACTGGCTGATCGCAGAGGGTTGCTTCATCCCTAAGGAGGAGAACTCTTCAGGGATCAAGCAGTTTCGCACCATCTCACTGCTCAATGTGGAAGCTAAGATCTTCCTGGGGATCCTGGCAAAGAGGTTGACCACCTTTATGTTGGAGAACGGGTACATGGACACTGCGGTACAAAAAGGGGGCATTCCAGGGATATCTGGCTGCCTTGAACATACCAGCGTTATCTCCAAAATCATTGAGGACGCGAAGAAAAACCATGGCAACCTGGCAGTACTGTGGTTGGATCTGTCAAATGCTTATGGAACAATACCCCACAAGCTAGTGGAGCTGACGCTGAAGACCTACCATATACCTAAGCGATTTCAGGCGCTTCTGCAATACTACTTCGACGGATTCAACATGCGTTAAACCTGTAGGGAGTTTACCACCAACTGGCAGAGACTGGAAGTGGGCATTGTCACAGGCTGCACGATTTCAGTGATCCTTTTTTCCGCAGCGATGAACCTTCTCGTCAAATCAGCAGAGAAGTTGCGTCGAGGTGCAGTACTTGCAAGTGGAGTCCAGATGCTGCCCATTCGAGCATTTATGGACGATCTCACCATAACAGCAAGATCAGTACCAGAAGGAAGATGGATTCTGGAGGACTTGGTTGAGATCACCAATTGGGCAAGGATGGAGTTCAAACCAGAAAAATCTAGAAGCCTGGTTCTGAAGAAGGGGCGCGTTCAGGATCGGTATCACTTCAAAATTGGAGAGAACACGATCCCAACTGTCCAAGAAAAGCCTGTGAAGTGCTTGGGAAAGTGGTACAGGGCAGACCTCAATGACAGGCAGAGTGTGAAGGAGCTGCTTAGCCAGGCAGAAACTTGGATGACATCTCTCGAGAAGAGCAGCCTCCCGGGCAAGTACAAAGCCTGGGGTTACCAACATGGGGTTCTCCCCAGACTGCTCTGGCCTCTCCTGGTTTATGAGGTACCTGTCTCCACTGTTGAGGGACTGGAGAGGAAGCTGAACACCTACCTGAGGAGATGGTTGGGCATCCCAAAAAGCTTTTGCTCCATTGGCCTGTACAGCACAGGCAGCAAGCTACAGCTGCCAATAACATCAGTGGTGGAAGAGTACAAGGCGACAAAAACACGCCAGGCCATGATGCTGCGAGACAGTAAAGACGTGAGAGTACGTCAGGCAGACATCGTCATCTGGACAGGCCGAAAGTGGTCAGCCAGCAGAGCATTGAAGGAGGCCGAGGACAGACTGAATCACGCAGACATTGTCGGGTCGGTAGCCCAGGGAAGGCTGGGTTTAGGTTGCTTCACCAGAACAAGCTGGAACAAAGCGGACCCAAGGGAGAGGCGAGGCTTGGTGCAGAAAGAGGTCAGAAGGGTGGAGGAGGAAAGCCGGCATGTCAAGGCTGTAGCCATGAACAAACAAGGCAGCTGGACTAGATGGGAGAGTGCGAGAGAGAGGGCTCTTACTTGGCAGGACATCTGGAGCATGGAAGGCCACCGCATCAAGTTCCTTTTATGCTCTGTTTATGACGTCCTACCTACTCCCTCAAACCTCCACACCTGGGGAATGGTCGAGAGCCCAAGCTGCAAGCTCTGTGGAAGGACAGCTAACCTTGAGCACGTCCTCTCTTCATGTCAGTCAAGCTTAGCAGATGGCAAGTTCCGGTGGCGTCATGACCAGATCCTTGCTCAATTGGCCGACGGCATCGAGCAGGCAAGGAAAAGGGCAAGACAGCTATCCAAAGGGCCTTGTTTCATACATTTTACCAGGGCAGGAGAAAGTGGAGTAGTGGGAGGGAAGAGCAAGGGGGTCCTGGCCACGGCAAATGACTGGGAGATGCGGGCAGACCTAAAAAAGCAGCTCAAATTCCCTGAGGAGATAGCCCACACTAGCCTGAGACCAGACATTGTTCTATGGTCTAAAGGTACCAAGCAGGTGGTGCTCATCGAGCTGACTATCCCCTGGGAAGAGAGGATGGAGGAGGCCTATGAGCGTACGCTCAATAAATACCAAGCCCTCATCCTAGAGAGCCAGCAAAATGGATGGAAGACCTGGAATCTCCCAGTGGAGGTGGGCTGCAGAGGCTTTGCTGGACGGTCGCTCTGGAGAGCCCTTGGACTGCTGGGGATTGAAGGGCTGGCCAGGAAGCGGCTTGTAGCCAACGTCACCAAGCGGGCGGAGGAGGCATCTCGCTGGATTTGGATGCAGCGCGAGGTGCGCTGGCAGAACCGAAGCACTGAGCGAACGAAGAACTGGATGAGGAGTTGGGTGGCGTTCGGTAGGGGTGGGTCCAGGACGCTGGATTTGCCGTTGAGCCCCTCCGAGGTGTCATGGGCTTAAATCAACGAAACACCAGTGAAGGGGGGTGCCCATTTGACAACCTTCTGAGCCTACCCAACTCCGATTCCAGTCACAGAGACCTAGTGGTGCCTTGAGGGAAGGAAAGAGAGAGAGAGAGCAATGCCACTGGCCCACAGATGGTGCAGGGGCAAGTACCTGTAAAATTGGACCAGTTGCGATATCCCTTATCGTATTTTGCATACTTGACAAATACATAAAGCCTTACACATTTAATAATTAGAGCACATGTGGCTTTAGGGACCTTAAACTAAAGATATGAATAACAAAATAAGTCAAGGTAGAATTCAGCAGGAAGCAAAATAAAAAAAGTTGACCTCTCCTTCTCGATTCATCGCGTTCATTTCAGGAAAAGCGTCTGCCATTCCTGGCAGACATCTTGGCCACATTGAAGTGAGAGACTGTTTGTCTCAGAGGACACTGAGTGGGCTGAGTGACAGATCCACAGGACCAGCTGCTGTTTGCTAAGACAGGCAGCTGGACGATCAGGACCTGAGGGCTGAATGGGATTTATATACAACCCTGGAACACCTTCCCTAGCTGAGCTCAGGCTAAACGAGCAACTGAAACTTTATGGCCAATAAACAGTGACGATTCAAACAAGATGCCCGCTTCTTTAAACAAATGCCATCAAAATACTCTCAATCATGCATTTCTAATTTAAAAATAAAAAAATGAACTGATAATGTGCCTCCTTAAGTATTCATAGCTGCACAATTTCACATTTTACAAACAACTTTAATTGTGTTTGGATTTTATAAAACAGAGCGACAGAAAGCAGAGCGTTAGTGGAAGGTGGAAAGAAAATAAACTGGTTTCCTTTTTTTTTTTTTACACAAATTAGTCGATACTCTCAAACTATTTTTTTCCTGTAAACGTAGCTGCTGACAAACATCTCATTATTGTGTCAACTGCTCAGTGGGAATGGCATTTAGAAAATATTTAGTTTCCCTCAACAAATGCCAGAAAGCATAACAAAGTCTCACCTGAGCAGCAAACATCTGCAGCTCCTCCGGTTTCATCTTTCTGATTTTAAAGGAGGATCGGCTAAAAGGACACTACACATTTTTGCTTACTTTGTGAAAAATAGATTCAAAGGGTTTAAATACTTTTTTTAAACTAATGCAACTTTCTCCAGTTACGAGTCAGACAAATGCAATAAAGGCTATTTAAAGTCAAAACAGAAACTGAACCTCCATCTTCAGCTCAGGGATTTGGCCATCTTGTTTTATGGTCACTGTTTACGAGTAAACAGCAACAGCTGAGTTACTCCTTATCCATGTCAGTATGGCCCTAACATGTCAGCATCATGACAGGACAGTAATCTTCCATCTGTATACTCCATGTACGTCTGTACGGGAGGCAAGCACACGCTTATTAAATCTGCTTTCGTTTCAACATGGAAGCTATTTTTGAATGCATTCCAGTTGAGTGATGTAGATGCTAGAATCCATCCTCCGCCTGCGTCTGAACTCCTTATTTAGAGCTACATGAGGTGAAGTACAAAATGCTTTCCAATCAGCCTTCTGTTGAACCCAGATACCCTCCAACAAGCACTAAAAGTGTTTCACTCTTTTATAAACACATTTCAGAAACTGTTCCTTTTTCAGATTTATTACAAAGACTTTAACAAACACACAGAAATTGACCTAAATCGTTGCCTTTAACTATACTCTACAGTCCCTTTGAGGTTAAGAAATAGATGATGTAGGTGTCAACATGAAGGATATGTACTTCTAAAGAAAATACTTACAAACAGGCTTAAGAGTTCCTGTAGAAAAATGAGCTTTCTTGATTCGCCAGTGATCAAAGGTCAATAGTTTATTAATGAAATTTGTGGATTATATTACAGAAAAGGTCAAAATAATTGCTAAATGAGGGAGGTTATGTAACGATGCTGAAGTCAACAGCCAGCACTGTATCTACAAGAGGCATCTACTGGCAGATGCATCCTGTTGAGGAGAGTGTCGAGTGTAGCAGAGGGATTAGCACTGGGATTTTTCCCCCTACATCTACAGTTGCACATCAGGAAAAAGCGGCTAAGGGGCAAACTCATTAGGTAACAGAGCATGTTGCTGTGCATATACAAAAAAATGAAATAAAAAGTCTCTCTTTGGAGTGTTTCCAATCCTCATGTATTATTTTGAGCACAATTTTACAAGGGAACCACAGCCCCTCTCTGTATTTAGACAGTCCCATCAAGCCAGCGGCCATGTCTGTGCTAAGAACACGTTAGCCTTACCAAACAAATCAGCAAACGGATCTCTTCCACCAAAGAATTCCCTGAAAACGTCCTCTGGGTTACGGAATGTGAAGCCGCCACCATGGCTGAAGTTATCATAGTGGTTTCCTTGGAGATATAAAAAAAGAAAGGCTCAGTTACAAGAAAATCTAAACTAATCAGTGCAAATATAACATGTCAGTATATCAACCAAGAACTAAGAAGTCTCCAAAATCTGGTCTTATTGTGTCTCCTTTCACCCATTTTAAAAGTTGTTTCCTTACCTCTACCAGAGAGGCCGTCTTTTCCATATCGATCATAAAGACTCCTTTTGTTTTCTGTGAAAGAAAAAGAAAAAAATGTAAGTGAGGAACAACCTTTGAAAAATAACTATAATTCTAAGGAGGCAAGAGCTGATTTGGCATCAGGTGTTTAATTTACTTTACTTTTGGGTGCTTTGGAGAATGACGCAGACATATTTTGTCAAACAACATGAAAAAGAAAAAAATGAGTGATTTCCAAATCAGAGGGAAATACGGCAACAACATGCATCTTTTGCAGGTCAGTCTAAAGTATGATTTTATCACAATTGTTTGGAAGAATTGTCACCCTTAAAGAAATTAACATTAAAACTTGAAAAATATTAATAGCTCATAATAAATATAATGTACATTAAATACATGAGACTCGAGGTGTTTAAAAACCTGAGCTATTTAATTTTTGAAAAAAAAGAAAAGAAAAAAAAAGAACTGGTTAGTGTGTTTTTGTAGTATAAATCTGAAGACAGAAATCCCACTGGGGTCTGAAGCACAGCTACTGTTCTGAGATCCATTTGAGTGCTTTGTTTATGTTGTGAGCATTATCTGATAAAGTCATTAAATGCCTTCCCAAAGCCAGGGGTGTGTTGCATTGTGGGATATGGTTAAGCTGAGAGATAAAAACAAGAAACTAATTTCAAAGTAGCTTAAGTATGGGTGTAATAAACACCAAAATAAAATATGCTTCCTCAGTTAGAATCAAAAACTATGATGTAAAGTTGGCTATTGGTTTAACATGACAAATTAGCCCATAAAGCTAAATTAAAATAGTGCAAAATAAACTGATGCATCCTCAAAGGAGCACAAGGTTAAAAAAAATAAATTAATAAAAAAAATATGATTGTCTTTCGAAATGAGCTTCAACAGATTTAAGATTTGTTGACAGACAAGTTGAACATTATTTACAGTATTTCCAGATTATCGTGTTTTCAAACAACAGAAAACTAAAGTTGTTTTTCCGGCCCTCCTGCTTTAAAAAACAAAAAACAAAACACTGTTTAGGAAATCCAGATTTACTATTTCACAAGAATTATCAGGTCGTTTCATATTCAACAACCCAGTATCATTGTAGGATTTTACATTTAGCCATTGCAGACCTTACTTTTTACAATTTTCTTTTACATTTCTATAACTTTTAATTAAGGTTTAAGCAAAGCCATCAAAAGATGACAAAATGAGACACTCACTTTGTCCAAGATTATCACTAATAGAGATTCAAATGTCATGTTTTCTAAGCCAAAACAAGTTTTTGGGCTACTATATAAGGCTTCGAACTCAACGCTAATTCTGACATTTTGAAATGAAAAAGCTTTCTGGATGGGAAGTGAAACATCTTCAAACATGGAAACCAAGTCCAGTGAATTGTTTAACATTTTTGCAATTACTAACAGAGTCCATTATGAGCCAAACAGCTTCATATGCGTAACTAAAAGCAAAACCATGGCAGACTTGTGACGATAAGAGAAGCGCATTCAAGCAAATCTGACACAAAATTCTCAAGAACTGCTGCTGCAAGCAGTTTTGACGCTGATAACCAGATTCTCTCTGGGCTCCACAGGCAACTAACAGCAGTACACCTTGGAGTAATTCAATGTATGTTAAAGAAGCTCAATGTGATGAACAGGAGCTCATTTTAAATGGTCTAAACATCAGGGGTGTGAAAATTCCCTACAAATAAATACTGAATAAAAATGACTTAATTTGCAGCTCATAAAAAAGCAACCTAAAAACCCCTGGTCACTTTATTAAACAATAAATCTTTAACTTTAACCTTAGAAATAGTTTTTTTTTTAAGGCTTAAAGTAAAATAAATAATACCACCCAAACAAAACCACTTAACCTGAATATTAAAAAGTAGGAAAGCACAGGGGGTAAAGCATTGGGACAAAAACAGAATGTGAATACATTTGAAGTTGAAACAAATCAATCTTACCATCTGACAGGACTTCATAAGCCTCTGACAGCTCTTTAAACCGCCTCTCTGCCTCTTCCTTGTTGTCTGGGTTCTTATCTGGATGCCATTTCAACGCCAATTTTCTGTAACTGTGGAGTGAAGAAGAAAAAAAAGCACCCAATTTAAATCACAGTGGTGCTTAATATAAAAATATGCCAAGAACAATATTTAATCCAGCAGAGGGGCGAGAGATCAGAAGAGGAGAGGTCAGCCAGACACGGGAACTGGACAATTTTCCAATGACTGGTTCTGATCAGTGATTGACTGGTCAGATATTGATATCTGTCTATTTAATGCATCACAACTAGTACTGTCTTAGTTTATAAACACAACCATTAGCATTTATTTCAATCAACCTTGGCATTTAATAAAAATTCAGATGCACAGGCTACATATATAAACATAAATGCAAAAATGGGGTAAAATGCCTTCATCTTTTTTAGTTTAGAAATAAAGATTGCAGAACAGCAGAATATACATATCAGGTTTTATTTAAAGATAATAAATATCCATAGATTCTAAAGGATTTTTTTTTTTTAATGAGTAAATTACTATTTACAAAAATAAAGCATTGTACATATGTTAGGAAAATTTACAGCATTGAGAAATTTTAAAGAGAAACGTACAAGATGCTGATTAATTAATTCAAACAAGAAGTATTTTAACTGCTGACCAAACTTCACTGTACGATTGATTCACAGTTGTTTGGACACAGATTTTAAACAACTTTTTAAACAACTGCAAAGTGTAATTTTAATACTTTTGCATTATTAAAAATTATGCAGCTTTGTAAATAACAAAGCAAAAACAAATGAGCTAAATTTAGCTAAGAAAACTGGACGGTATCTCGCAGAACCATTGCTCAGTTTGTTAAAATATGCTTTCTTGTAAAGCATAGGAAGCTGACAGGAAGTGCTCAGTTAGAAACTACACCACTATTTCTCTGCATTAAAAAAACTGCAGAGGACCAGAGCTCTAAAATGTGAAAATGATAGGACAGAAGTTTTGGTTTTGAAAGAATCAATATTTAAAACCTCAATTTAGGTTATGCAGACAATACACCTGCTATAAGACAATCTTTGTATCGTTTTTGTAGCGCTATGACTAATGATTGTTAAGCAAATCGATTAACCTGTTGATCTTTTTTTGTGTGGATTTTTTTACGAATTTTAACAAGGTCAAACTAAAACTTTTTAGTTGAAGAGTTCTAGTTAAGGCATATTGATAGACGAAAATGTTTAATTTTAAATGCAAAATATTTTGGGTCGCTCTGTCAGCTAAAGACATGTTTTACAGTCTCTATACTACACTTAACGATTAATCGATAGCTAAATTAGTTGACAATTAGCCGATTAATCGGATAGTTTCAGCCCTAGTTTTTTAATCAGCAACTATATCCTTGGTTTTTTGTTTGCTCTATTATAAAAGCCTTTACTTGGCCTCAAGGAAAGCATTCATTTCAATAGATTTTGTGTGTAAATCGGCAGTTTCAAGCATTCTTTTGGAATCTCAGAGTGTCACTCTGGGTCCAGAACAAGAACTGAAGGGTTAAATCCAGGAAAAATCTTCCTCATGATGGAATAGAAAGGAATGTTTAGTTTACTTCTTTTCTAAAATGCTTTCTTTGTCAGTCACAAAATTAGGTGAGGATAATACTTTAATAGTCCAGTTGAAATGTATTTTGTCTGAATAAAAAGTCTATTCACAATTGAAAAAGATTTGTCAGTGTATCCAGGAGGGAATGTCCAAGCAGGTTCAATCTGAGGTCAGACTGAACAATCCTCAGCTTATCAAACTACACATGGCTCTATTGAGAAATTAAAGGTCCATGACAGTGCAGCTGGATGAATACTTAATATGTGCAGCTTGTTCGGTCTTGTTGGGATTGCTGGAGGTGAGAAAAAAGAAAAACCTTCCCTTTCAGCACAGTCTTGCTCATAATGTATCTAGGCTACATACTTAAGGTGGAAATATTTGAAGCTTTTTAAATATTTGATGCTTTGCATTGTGGCAAAATACCAAACACAAAATCCATTTCAAGATAGTTAAAAAGTAAACAATACATACATTTCCAGCTTGTTTACTGTCAGTACACTGTCACAAGTACAGAGTAACCAAATGAACTCTCTGCATTTAACCTATCCCCTTGGGGAGCCATGGGCTGCCATTGTGTGGCGCCCGAGGAGCAGTCTGGGGTTAAGGATCTTTTGCTCAGGGACCCAGAGTGGCAGTCTGTGGGAGTGGGGCTCAAACTCAGAACCTCAGGATTCCAAGCCCTATGCCCTAACCACTAGGCCACCACTCCCCCAACAATCCAAACAACCAGGTCCAGAGTCCAATCCCTTGGATGAACTTAAAATAATAACATGTATTATACATTCCTCAGCTACAGGGATGTTGGCGAGCTAGGAGAGCCAATCTCATATTATGTTTCAGTCACATTTCCTGTTGAAAAAAGTTACAGGATAATTTAATACATCCTTTCAGAGTGTTTTTACATAACAGAAAACCTGTTGCAAATCAATGGAGATGGTGCTCCTCCCCTCCCTTGCAGACTTAACAAAGCACTGCATTTACAAGCAGAGAGGGGGAGGGGGGGCTCACAGTGCGGCTGTTTGTTTCTAAGCCCACAGAAGCTGCAGATAAGACAAGGGGTTTTAAAAACTCGGGGATTCAATTCAGGGGCTCTGCTCCCTTTAGTCAGCAGTCCTGGTTCCTCACATCTTTGTAGTCATATTATCTGGCAGTGAAAAGATTGAGTGAGTGGTCAGGGGGCCAGCCCTGGTCAAACAAAGCAAACTACTTGTTAATTATGCTACATCCTAGTCTGTTTACTGAGGGAAGAAAACCCAACAAAAAAAACATGTAGACTTTAACGGTATCAAAATAGATGTTCTGCGGCGACTGTTTGGTGAATATTTCAAAATGAAATTTTACATATTTTCTTTCATTTAAGAATTTTTTTCTATTCCAGAATCTTCCTCATTTCCATCAATTTTTAAGATGTTTTTACCATAAACACCCCATTATCTTTTATTTACATCCTTTACAAAAGTCAATGGAAAAGGCTTCACTCACATGAAATTTATCAAATATAGCAGCTTTTTTTGTTAGCCTGGTATTACTCATATACAATACGCTTCAATTGTCTGTAAATTTATGTGTAATATTTTAGGAGAAAAATAAATAAATACATAGAGCTCATTCAAACCCCCTTGTTTTACCTGTTAGGGTACCTTTAAGAATTTGACTGTTGTGGGCATTCATGTGGATGTAGCGTTAGCAATATTAGCTGTTTGCCATAGTTTGTTTACCAGTTTTCTGGTTTTCAAAACCAAGGGGTAAAAAGTTATGCAAGCAGCAACAAGAACCGACTCTTAGTTAGTCTCTGATTGTTAGAATCACCTCTTTGTGAGAAATAGACATAAGTGTGATAAAAGCAAGGTTGGGTTAATATTAGCATTCTTCTGATAACAACTATAAAATTTTGTGGCCTTTTCTGATTTTGAACAGAGCCCATAGGAGGAATACCTTAAATCTTTATCACAGTACTCTTTGTGGTAAAAAAAAATTGCAAAAAATTGATAGAAAAGAAAAAACTAAACAAAAAAAAATGTTTTTTTTTTTTTTTTTTTTTTCAGTCTACCACACAAGCAAAGTCTTAATCTGATATTTGCTTGTGTAACATCTTCAGCAGGGGTTTCAGCAAAGAGTTGTATATGCCTGGTAGCTTTAACTGCATCCCTCCCCTTCTGTTCAGTGATAGTTTCTCGCTTTAAATAAGGATGGCTTCCTTCACCCAAATTTAAAACCATCTGTTCGAGATCTGTACATTTTGGCTATTAAAGGTGTGTCCTTTGTTCTTGAGGTGAACATGTCCAGCTATCGTGCTCAGAGCCTAACACTATGTGTTTGTAAGTTCATGCTTAGTTTTTCCCCATTGGGCCAAAACAGGTTTGAAGGAGGGGTGAAGGAATGACATCCAATCATCCATTTTCTGACACACTTATCCCTGTTTTGGTCGCAAGGGGTTCTGGTGCCCATCTCCAGCTGCCAATGGGCGAGAGGCAGGGTACACCCTGGACAGGGCGCCAGTCCATTGCGGGGCAACAGAGACAAACAGGACAAAGAGCCATTCACGCACACACTCACACCTAAGGAGGATTTAAAGAATAACAGTCTTGTTTTTGGACTGTGGGGGGAAGCCGGAGTACCCGGAGAGAACCCACGCATGCAGCCCAGAATTACAGTCCACTGCCTCTAATTTCAGCCTGTTTTGTGGTTACCATGACCCAGATGGCTGACAATTGGCACAGACATTTCTTTTACTCCGTTTCACGTAACTGTATGGCTGTGAAAGCCTTTCACTGCTGCCCCATGAACTTAACTTCCATTAACAAGCTATCCATTTTTAATGTTATTTTTTATAAGGAGCAATGACAAAGTGTGATTTTCCTCACTAAAATGCTCAAAGTAACTAATCATATTTTCAAACTTATTGCTTTTCTTTTTAAACATACAAAAGAAATCATAAAAAATGTTATAATGATAATGAAAATGTCCATTCACATTTTTAGCAAACGATTAGTTTTAATGTTGGGCCTAAAAATATTTTTTTATTCCTTGACTCTAGAGAAGTTTGTCCCTTACCTGTTTACGAGAACCAGTTAGGAAATATAGATTGTTTGTTGGAATGGTGCTGGTCGCTAGATAGCTAAAGATTTACAGCCAGACAACACTATTCAATCTGAAGTTTCAGTCCTTTCCTTTGTGTGAGCTCGTCCAACTATAGGGCACATCACTTCCTTATTGCATGTCATAGGCGTTAGCTAATTAGCAGTTTGCCAGCATCAGAAAGAGAAAGCAAACACTTGAATACTTACGCTTTTTTAATGTCGTCTTGTGTTGCATTTCTTTGGACTCCCAATATCTGGTAGTATTCCACCATGGCTCTGTCTGTTTTTGTGCTGATTTATTGCAGATTCTTCTTACTGGCCTCTATGGCAAGAAATAAGTTTAGTTAGGAACTGTGAGTAATCAAAGCTGCAAAGTCATGTGTGACCAGCATGACTCCCACACTGCAGAACAGAAAAGTACAAAACATTTTAAAGATGCCATTGAACTATTCTAAACCACTGATGCAGGAAAGAGAACAGCTTAGTCACAATAAGCCAAGTAAAATGACTCCTTTGAGAACATCCTTCAAGCCCAAGGCGATAAGAGACTGATGTTTTCCTTTTCATGTTTAAAGTTCTCTGTGAGAGCACAAATCAAGGAGTGTCAAAATGTCTGAACAACAAGATAAAACAAGCCTAACAAAAGTATCAAGACACTTCAAATGTTGATATTTCAACCAAGCTATAATAGGGGTGGGGGATATATTTTAAATATGCTCAATGTATCTCGAGTTTCCCCACGCACAATAGTTAAAATAACTATCGCAACCGTCGAATACTAATTTGCATGACAACATGAAGCCATCTGCATGTATTTCACTAAGTTTTATTTTCCCCACACACTTTGAATGCATCAGAATCCCATTCTCCAAACAGGATTATTTTCTGCGTTGTTTCAGCTCAACAATATATGGCAATGGTTTGGATTTCACGCTGAGAACGTTCAAAGTCATTCCTGCAAAAGGTAGCAGTACAAATTTATTTCACCACCTAAAAGTCATCAGCTGCAAAATAAAGAATGTTGTAAACTCGATTATGTCAGGGTTCCTACAGCATAAGGCAAGTTAAATTCAAGACTTTTTAAGACTTTTTGATGCCACTAGAAATAAAAATTTAAGACCAAATTCACAAGAAACACAAGAAAAACCTGCTTGCGACAACTTAACCCAAAAGGTTTATTATAACATAAACCACTGCATTAATGTTTCAAATACTGAAACGCTTTCTATACAGGAAGAAAGCTAAAAACAAACAAATGACAGATATATTTTAACAATTATTTAACTGAATTCACAAACTTTGTTTTAGCAGGGAACAAAACAAATCAGTTTTAAAGCCACAACATAACCAGTGCTAAGTCTTTTTTGCAGCTATTTTTCTTTGTATCATTTTCTTAGTCTTTTTGATTTGGTGATAAGTGGAGGCGTTGCAGAAAAAAGGGTGGAACAAAACTGAGAAATACTGTGTTTCGCTGTAACTCGATTTTGACGCTTTGTGTTTTGCGCTTTGCATGTGACTCCACTGCCTTAATTCCCATTGTTCCGAGCTTGAATCGCTTTTTGCAAAAAATACACTGTGCCTCATGTATGTCCCCTGGTACATATTGCTCATATTTTCCAGACAAAAAGTAAATGGCGCATCTCCCAAATGGTCGGCCGCAACAACGCTTTTATTGGTTCCGCTATCAGGACGGAACCAATAATGGCGAGCCATTATTTTTTTTTTTATTAAAAAAAAAAGGTAAATTTTAATGTTTTATTTAGATTACAAAAATAAATCATAATAAAAATGATCCTATTTATCATGTTTTAAAAATTAAGACCTACAAAAGACTGATTTAAGACATTTTAATACCAATTAAGGCCTTAGTTTTATTTTGAAGAATTCAATGCCTTTTAAGACTTTTTAAGGACCTGCGGGAACCCTGTATGATGGAGGGAAATCATAGACCCTATTTATTATGTTATTTTAATGTTTTTTAGATGCTCCAATAAATGTGATGTGGTCTTGTTCAGAGGTTTTGGAGGCATTCTCTAAACTTGGCAATGTTCCCAATTTTATAAAATTTTATGTTTCTTAAAAATTCCCAACACGTTAAGATCAATGCAAATAGTTTGGAGATGCTGTGATAAAGCTTAGGACAGTATTTAGACTTTTGTTTCTGTAAATTTGAGGTCTGCTTTTTTTTGCTTATTATGCACAAAAGAGCCCTTTATAATCTTAGACTTTATGTAGTATTATGTGTCTTTCTTCTTTAATGGTGACACTGAAAGAGATAATGTGGCAGAATTATTTGTGAAAAGCTTTGAGCTGGTTAAAATAAAATGTTTTAATTTGAAATCAAAAGTTTAAATGAGTACCGGTATATCAGAACAATTAACAATGCTTAGATCCGTTTCCCTAGTACCAACCAACCAAACCAACATAGCTCTCAAGTGATGTTTATACATTTTTCATTAAGTTATTTTAAATTCATTGAAACCTTAAAGGGATAGTTCGGTATTTTTGACATGAATCTGTATGGCATCCCCATCACCAGTGGCATGCAATCACACTGACTTACCCCTGGCAGCGTCCTGTGAGCAGAGTTATCGTCCAGTTTTGGTCAAGCCGAAAGTAGTCCGGCAGGTTTTTAGGACCAGCGAAATAAAACTTTTCTCTTCCCAAAACATTATGTGTTCAAAAGAGTGATATTTTTGCCCAGCTAGGAGCTAGGCGGAGGGAGACATGCATCTGGCTGTTGTTGAGCTCGCTGTCTGAATGACGGCGCGCAGTGATACGAACAGAGAGAAAATAGGACCAATTGATAACGACGTGTGACTTTTTCCACTACAACGTTTTTGGGATGCAAAAATATCACTCTTTTGAACACATAATGTTTTGGGAAGAGAAAAGTTTTATTTCGCTGGTCCTAAAAACCTGCCGGACTACTTTCGGCTTGACCAAAACTGGACGATAACTCTGCTCACAGGACGCTGCCAGGGGTAAGTCAGTGTGATTGCATGCCGCTGGTGATGGGGATGCCATACAGATTCATGTCAAAAATACCGAACTATCCCTTTAACCTAGGAAAAAAAAACTATTGCAAGAAACAGAGGTTTGTTTTTGTCACAGAAAACTTTACTTTAATAAAAAGACAATATAAAAAACCTTAAAGCAGCAATTGATTATTGATGTTGTCTTCCAAGAAATCCTAAAAGATAAACAACCAGAGGGTCAGACATGAGTGCACCGTGTCCTGTTTGTTTGCTATATATAACCAGTGGCCTTTGCCGTTAGATTGTGTTGGAGTTATTTGTGGGAAGCTGGGGGCTGTTTGGCACGTGTTGGTGCCGATCAGTGACTCCAGTTTAAAAAAAAAAAAAGAAGAAAATTCAGGCACTGACCTCTGCTTTCAGATGGCTGCCCCAGGATTTAACTTCAAACTAGTGTTTCTGTTTTTTTTTAATGGCTAAATGTCTCATTTAATGATAAATAAAAAATAAATAAACTGGAGTAGACAATGATCACATTTTACAATCTAAATATAGAAACATGACCCAGAATGTGATTGTGTTTTTTAAAGACATATTTGCCCCTTCAAATGTATCTTTTCTCCAGAGCCTGTAGCTATTACAGATCATTTAAACCATAATAAACTGAGATAAGAAAAAAAGTGACTGTAATCTCATTCACTGCTCTGGTCATCACGTGGGTTTGTACACTTAAGGCCAATTTATGCTTCTGACGCATAGCCTCTGCAAGCGTCAGATCCATCTCTGTGCGCAACCACGCCCCCTGCGCAGAGGTTCTGCAACCGTCGTCATGCACCTCAAAAAAATCCTGACTACGCGTCGGACGGTCGCAAATCCGCGCAGACCTCAAGCGGAAGTGCGCAGACTGGTTCGCGACCAGATGCAAGCAACATTTGATATGTGCGGTTGCAGAGGTCTTATCTTCCCTTTAGAGATATAATCCTTAAATCCACACTGATTCTGTCAAGTTTTTATATAGTTAATTGAAAACATTCAACTTTAACTATAAATAAATAATTTTAATGTCTTTAATAAATACCATGCATAGCTCAGTAATGGGAGACTAAAAATATATTGATGTGTTAAAAGCTCCATTTAGCAACAACAGACTAGTCTGAGATTTGTTGTGGGTAGGTCTGACGATATGACAAAGAGCAGCGGTTTAAGCAGATTGTAATTACTTTTACTTACTCTGCTTCTCCATCCATCACGACTTCTGTATTTTTTTGCCTCTGACCATCAGACCCCAGACTAGTAGTAGTCTGTTTCTTGGTCCCTATAGTCGGGGCACATTGGCCCATTGCTGCACTCTGAAACTCATTGAAGTAAGTCAGCTAGTAGAGGAAGACAGATGAAGGTTGCCTAAAGCGGCAACCATAGAAGCTGGTACATTTACAATGATCATGCATCAGCAGCAGGAGCATCACACATCATATGCTGAACTCAAATTAAAGTTTATGGCATATTGATTATGAAAGAAATTTAGGATGAGATCATCCACTTCAAAAGCTCATAATCTGATAACCTAATTTAAAGCTGTAATCCTAATAACATTAAATTTTGGCTCTTTTAATTATTTTTTTTTTGTATAACTTTATGTGTCCCAAAAATATATATTAGGGGTGGAACGGTTCACAAAATCCCCGGTTCGGTTCGGTTCACGGTTTCGTGGTCACGGTTTTCGGTTCGGTATATGTTTATTGTTTCACCGAAAAATAAAAAAATTTAATAAATATTATAAAAAATTAATGAAAAAAAAAATAAAAAAATCAACAAAAAAAAAGTAATGAATTGTAATTATTTTCAATGATCCGCGGAAACCCTGGATCATTTCCACATGTTTTGCTGCTTTGAATTTAATCATCTCGCGCATGCTCTCTACGATCTCCAAGGAACTCAGAGCGGAGCGGACGGGAGCCACAGCGGAGGCTGTAGGCTTTGCTTTGTGCAGGCGGTCTGGAGCGCAGCGGGGCGGAGCGGTCATGTTGCTGTCAGCATAAACAAAACGTGTTGCACAATGCTTGCACACTGTTGCACTTTTATCCACCACTTTCTTTCCACCGTCATCGTAGGTCACTCTAAATGCAAACTGGTCCCATACAGCAGACCCATAAAGTGCTGCTGGCGCGTCTTCCAACTCCTGTTCTTTCTCACTCGCCATACCCACACAATTCTCCACAACAACTGATTTTTTTCTGCTACACCCGGCTACGCTGCTTCACTTCTTCTTCTTCTTGTTTACTACTGGTGGTTGGCTTTGGTCGCAGTACACCTTCTGCTCTGGAGTGTACACGCTTCCCCTATGAGA